AAAAGACAATCAGTAAAAAGGGCCCCGAATCCATTCTGAAGTCAGTGTCTGCCTCAAGGAGATGAAGGGTTTTCTTTTAAAACTGACCTTTTAGTTTCAGCAAAGCATGGTTTATAAGTACTGTTTTAAAATACTTTACTCGTGTTCCTAGAATTGCTAAGTGTATTTGTGGGTGAAAGAATATTTCCTCAAAAATACTTTGAGCAGAAGTTTATGTGTTTTCCCCTCAACAAAACAAACTCATTGGACAAACTCAGGCTTATGTACACAATATGAGAGATCTGTTTGCGATACTAAGTTGCTATGTGAACAAATGTGATGTCACAACATAGATTTTTATGACTAATGTATTAAAAATGCATCAGGAAGAAGAAAAGGTTATTTCATCAGATAGCAATGGGAGGAAGTAAAATAAGAGACTTCCATTAAACCGTAGAAATTTTGTTTTGCTTTGATTTGCTTTAAATATTTGGTTGAATGTGAATGTCTCTGTAAGCTTCCAGTCCATTTAGTAGCTTTTAAATAATCGTAACATCCTCCTTTATTTTCCGTTTAATTTTCTTTACATTTTCTTCCATCATGAAATCTCTACTTTTGTTAAATTTGCTATGCGGTTTAATAGGAGTTTAATATGATTTGATTTAGCTGGTTGTCTTTAAAACAAATATGCTACTAATCAAGCTCTCTAGTCACCCTGAAAACACTGCTCTCTTAGCCAGAAGGGAAGCTGTGTTTTGCATATACTGGTGATGCAAAGCATAACCTCTTGTAGTGACAGAGAGGGATACAGGTGAATTTAATATCTTGTGATACGCAAGAGTCCTAACAATACAGGGGACTAAATAAACAAGTGAAAGGCTTGATGTGTTTCTTTGATTTTTGGCAATAAAGCACCACCTCAAACTTTAAACTGTCAGCAACTTTATGTGATCTATCCACAGCACATAGTAATGTTACTGAAAAATAATTATATACAAGATATAATCACCTTTTGTTTTAAGTGTGAACAGTTTCAAATGATTAAAAATTAGAACAAAAAAGGATTTACAACATCAAAGATGAAAAGAGGCTTTTTTAGACATCAAGTTCTATGAAAAACAGAGAAAATATTTAAGCTAATTTACCTATGTTGTGCATTGCTACCTAGAACTTTAGAAACTGCTGATTATGCCGCAACAGGATTGCTTTCCTGAAATGTTAAACTCACAGAGATATAAAAATACTAAGATAAACTGAGTTTGAGTGAATTGAAATCCTCAAAACCACACACAGAGCAAGGAAACAGCTGCATTTTGGTTAACCAGAAAGTTAATCAACTATGATAGAAGTAAATAAGATTTATCTTTATATCTGCCAGAGATTATTAAACATTTAAATATTCATTTTACCTCTTTAAATCAGGATTGTTGATGGATTATAAAATGGCACTAGACGCTCCCAAAGCATTATTAAGAAAGCACGTATTAATTTCCATTTAGAAAAAAGTGTTACCAGATTAGATTTCTTTGAACAACTTTTAAGGAAGGTAAGGTGTTCCTGTACACTAGTTAGTAACTCAGACTCCCTAATTTACTTTAGATCACATAAGAATTAGCTAGGTGGTGGACTTTTGCCAGTACTTACATCATAAAACCACCCCCTGCCTGGGTGTGATCGGAATTCTTCGCCTAAGACTGACCCTGAATTTAAAAAGGCAGTTGTAGGTTCTGCCTGAGGAGCCCATAAAGTTGTAAGAAGTTTGGAGAGCAAAAGTTTGCACACCTAGCACAGGGCAGAGTGGCTAATTCTTTACTTTCATGACTACCATTTCTTCCTAAAGAAAACAAGAGCAACAAAGATAGCCGCGCTGCATCTAAATGACCTTTATTTATCACTCCGTACTCTGTCTGCTTAATACACTGAGCACATCCTTCACACCAACACTTACTCCCTTCCACCCAGTGCTGACACAAAACGGAGTGGAAGCAGTGGATCTCTCGGGGAGGCTCTCCAAGCACAGAGCCACTTTGAGGACACTTCTACCTCCCCCAACATATCGTAGACCCTGCTGCTGGGAGAGCAGGAGGAGCAATGGCGGTTACCTAGTGGGTTCCCTGGTGGTGTCTTTACCAGCCCATTGCATTTTTGGAATAATTTCTCACCTACCTGCAAGCTCTGGAGAGCAGCTACAGGAATTCACTACAAGGGTGGGCTCTAGAGATGGAGGGGAGAAAAGGGATAGACATGACATACAGGTACTCCTTTCATAGGCTCTCCATCCATCCTCTGCACAACTTAATCAAATTATGTACGTTTTGCTCTGCCGTGGAACTTCCACCACTGCGAGGGACAGCAGAGAATCTGACTCTAAAGGATTATTAAGAACATTTTTATTCTGTGGGAAAACAGGAAAATCCCAAAGGCTTTCCAAGGGTATATTTGGGATAAGAGCTGTAGGTTCCCATTTTTTAACGCATCCTCACTTGCCACTGGCTCCCTCCAGAAGTTGGGTCCAAGTGGAATCTGCCAGCTTGCTACTCCCAGTCTTTTAAAGGAGAGTTTCTTTGTAATTCCTTTCCCCTTAAGCTGCTTTGCTTGTGCTCACCTACCCCCTGGGGCTCACAGAGTACAAGCAGCCTCCTTCAGAGACCAGTGCCTACATTATTCCAAGGACTGACTGAAGAGAAACGTTCATGCAGTAAGCCTGTATCACCCGCCACACAAGCACATTCCTTCCATGACATATACAGGGCTCCATCGGTCTGGATTCAAAAAATTCAGAGCTAGTTATACATGCTCCAGAGTCTTCAGCTACCAATCCCAAACATGTTTGGAAGTGCATAAAATTAATGTGAAACTTCCACTCCCAACCTGCCTCAGAAGCCAGCATGATTCTTTACAGGCTGTCCACACCTAGTCACTCTAAGCGTCCCAGGAAACCAGTCTAATTTTTTTTTATTTTTTTTTTTTTATTAAGGAAGGTGTTTTAATTGGAGGATGAATGAGAAGTGCTGAAGCTAGCTAGCAAATATGCTTCAACAAACAATGCTTACAGCACAGAGCTCAGAAATGAAAAAACAAGACAACCAGAATGTCAGCACTGAACAATCACAGGGCAAAAGTATTTTTTACTCTGAGCAAATAAAAGAAATGCTGGAGCATAAGGCCTTCATTAACTAAGCACCGTCTATCAATGGAAAAGGCTGCTGAAAGCTACGGCAGTACTAGCAAGGAAGGTTATCGCTTTTTGCCCACAACAATCCACGTGAATGTACACAGCAAAAACTGCCATGGAACGCGCTGAAGTCCAACTCAGCACGCCTCAGCAACACAGGAGGGGGAAACTGTTTCAGAAGTCCCTCAAAAACTTTCCCAGTGCAACATTTGTAAAGGAGCTGCAGTCAGAAACTAGTCAATTATTGAACGTAGCACTAAAATAATATGTAAAAAGGCCAAACGAGCACTGACAGCCTTTCAGAACAGCTTGCATATAAAACCCTGAAGGAATCGCCTAATGATACCTAGTTCTTCTTTTCACTTGAAAAAGTCTAGAAATTATTACATTAATATGTACGGGAATGTAAGGAACAGAGTTGCAAGGCACTGGCAAATAAACAGCAGCAAACAACCCCCCCAAGCCCCCTCATCCTAGCTAAACGGCAGCGGCCCTCCGCAACCAGCAACTTGGGGCAGAACTGATAGAAGAGTTGCCATGATCTGGGGAGCAACGAGCTGCTTGGAGTTTTTAGCCAGCACGAAGTGTATTTACCCGTTACTCCACAGCAATGTTTTAAGACTCGCAGTGATAACAGTGTTAGAAAAGCAGTTACCCCGTGGCGGTTACCCAATCAGAAAGCAGGTCACATCTCGTTAGCTGTATCATATACATTAAACGTCACAGATTCTCCATGGCTTAGCTGACAATTCAGGCATGTGTGTTTTATTTTATGATAACCTCGTGTTCCCTTCAAGAATTACAACAAACAGATCAATCTGAGATCCTTTGCCGTGCTCCATGGCACGAATGTGGCAGATATTTGCCTCTATATAAAGCCGCTCGCTATAACAGATGAATACTTTTTCAAAGTGTTTTCAGGGCACCGCTAGTAAACTACTATGAAAAATTGCAGCACCAAGAATGTTTGCTGCGCGAACACAGACACATGGGCAGAAATGCAGCCCGATTCAGTCCACAGAGTCTTCACTTCAACAGACTCAAAAGTGTGCTTCATTTAACCGCGTAAATAGCAAGACGCAGCCTCCGCTATTTTTTGTCTTTAAGTGACAAAAGTATTTCCCCTTCCCATTCAGCATATTCTTTGTGGTGGCTGATCTGGGTGTAGAAGCCCGGGTGTATAAAACCGCTAACAGATTATACAAAGCATAGCCAACAGTGGATGTAGTTTACGTTAATTGGGTACTTTTGACAGCTATATGATAAAGTCGTGAACCGATCATCTCTCTCGCTAAAAGCAACGGCATTCGAAATGTAAACATGAATTTCTCTCGTCGGTCGTCCTGCCCATGTGTTCTTTAAGTGCAGCCTAGGAATAAGTTTTTAAAACTCTGCTCCTGCTTTCTGCTATCATTCATTTTTAATTTCGACGAGTTTACAAAACAAAACCGGAGAAAGGTTCGTCTCTCCCCCTTAACCTGCAACATTTCTGAATTAGTTTTGTGCAAAGGCTCGAGCCGAGCGGTACCTTGCGATGTTATAGCTGCAAATGCCAGCAGGACGGATCCCGAGCAAACAACACACTAAGGCAAAGAAATTTCCTGAGACCAGCATTGCAACCAAGCCTGAAGTGCTGTACTGTAATTTCAAGATTTCAGCCTAAGCTGGTATCTCCTCAAAGAGTTGCTCTGCGTGGAAACATAATGAGGGATTACCCAATTAAACTACTAAATTAATTAGGGTTCGTGCCTGCATATCCTGTACCGTCTAGTGGGACGCTTCAGCTGGAATTCGGGCTGAAACCTACCACGGTCCATGCAGGGGAAAACAAGGCTGAGGGACTTACCTCCGTCCGCGACTGCAGCCTCTTGTTCATTTCATATATTCGGTACTCTGGTTGCACCATGTATGGTGTGTGTCTCCTATAAAATGGGCCAAAAGGAGAAGAATAGAAAGGGTCATGTGGTGTGCTGGACATCTTGCCTGCTTGCAGAGATTCAAGCTACACAGAGTATCATCAACATCCATACAGAGCACATGGGCTGTGTGTTCTTCACAGTACAAAGTAGCAGCGCGCACACACACACACATCCAGGCTGCAGGCGCTGGCGGGGAGCTGCTGTGGGAGCCCTCTGGAGCGGGAGACGGGGGGGGAGCGGGAGCGGGAGCGCACAGGCTCCGGAGGGAGAGAGGCTGGGTAGCTTCAGGCACCGCCGCTCGGTTTTAAAGCAGCGGTTTCTGGAGGGGTCATTTCCTGTCCACGCTGCAGACTAGTTCGAAAATATAATTTTCCTCGCCGCCTGACAAGAGGTCTAAGGTTTGGGTTTAATTTTTCCCAGCCAGGACCCCTCAGGAACCTGGCAGCAAGGCTTGTTAGCATATAGGTGGTTTAAAAGCTGCCTGAGCCAATCACCCTCTGCGAGGAGCACGCTTGGGTAATGTCAGAAATGTGATTACTTCAAAATACATAAA